AAAATGCGTGATACCCAAAATCGAAGCTCAGATTCGGATTCCTCGTTAAAAATCGATGCAATTTCATGTATCATACCCGAGCATAGCGTGGAGGAAAGAGACGAAACGTGGGCATACTGATTCGAGCATATGAATGCAACGTGGCAACATGGGTAGTGCTCAGTGGATCAGCGGAGGAGGAAGAAGAATTTATCGTGAGAAATTCCTCGGGACGAAACCGAATGCTAAGCGCCGGCGTCTCCCCGTTCGGTTGCATCCCGGGCGACCGGCGCTGCGCGGCGGCGTAGTTCAGAAGGGAAGCACGACAGAATCTATACGCGTCGTTCCTTCACGCTATTCTAACATGTGATACATGAAATCTCATCAATTTTTCACGAGATTTTCGAATCTGAGCTTAGATTTTGGATATTACGCGTTTTAATCGATTTAAAATCGTAGGAGAAATTACAGAATTGTCCTTGAAAATTGATCACACATTAGTGTTTTTTTACCCCGTTTTTCTTCTGCGTTCACATAATGAAATTGCTTAGACCAACAGTTGACTCATTGACTAGTCTAGTCTAATCCCCCAGAATCGGTCTAAAAGGCGAACGATTTTATCAGATAAGATGTGCGGTCCTAGTTTCCGGGCAATTGCGATTTGAATGACAGCTGCGATGAGGAGAAACGGAAGATATGCGAAACTCGGGCGGATATTAAGTACCTAGTGAAAAACCAGGAAGGGGAAAGCCTTTCTTCCCGAAAAATTTGTGCTCGGGCCAACTTATGTGGTCACTGGATTATTGTATTGGAGGTTGCGGGAAAATATTTTTTTGCAGCAACAACCAATTGGATTGCATTTTGCAAAAAGGAACTAAGAGCATTTCAATGTTGCTGGGATTGTGCAACTTTGGCACAACAACCGAGGTACATTCTTTGCAAAAAGTAAACTTTAGGACGGTAATTTTCGTCTTGAATTCATAGTTTATTGGGAGTAGAGGTGAAACTAGTTTAGATGTTCGTTTATGTTTGCAAGGTAAAAAAAAGTTGCACAATCTTGGCGACATTGGAATACTCTTGGTTCCTTTTTGCGAGATACAATCGAAGTATTAACAAGTTGGATTTTGCAATCGCTAGCGATAACAATATTCGTCATGGGAACGTTAGCTTCTGGGATATGAAAATGTTAAGGTACAGTTCGTTTGTAGTATCTTCTGAATTGAAGGGGCTATGTAATTTTGTGTTGACATCTCTTTTTTAACATTTTTAATTATTTTCTTTGCATACAAGAGAGCTGTTACGTACCAATTATTTATTTTCGTTGGATCATGTATGGTTTTCGGAAGTTAACGCATTTAAGTTTCAGGTTCGCTTTTTCGGCGTAAAGTGTACATAAGGTGTCCCAAAAGCACCGGGACTTGTTCTGTAACTTCGAAAGTAAGATAGATACAGACATGATCTTGATTTCATTTTAAAGATCAACTCAATACCTATCGATTCAAACCAAGATCAGCTCAATCGCATAAAAATTGACCGAGTTATGGCAATTTGAAATCAGCGAGGAAAGTTTACGCCTACGGTTTTTAAGGAAGATTCTTCATCGCCGTAAATCGAAAAGTCGGCCGATAAAGTGATGCTTATTGTGTTTTTTTATTTTCGAGGTGTCATTTATCAACATTTTGTACCATCAAACACAACAGTTGACAGTGCGTATTATTGCAAAGTACTAAAGGAGTTGAGAATGCACATTTCCCGGAAACGGTCGGACTTGAAAGCTTCGTGGATACTCCATCAAGACAATGCGCGGCCTCACACATCGAGCTTAACACGTGAATTTATGAGTAAAAATGGAGTTGAAACAATCCCTCATCCCCCTTATAGCCCTGACTTGGCTCCATGTGATTTTTGGATGTTTCCTACGCTTAAAAAGGAGCTTCGCGGACGAAGATTCGTATCGAAGACCGAAATCCAGAATGCAATTCAAAACTTCTTCAACTCCATCCCAGAGGAAGAATTCAGGAAAACAATGTTGGATAAGTGGCAAGAGCGCATGAAAAAGTGCATCCGGTTTGATGGACGGTACTTTGAAAAGCAAAAGGAAGTTATGGAAGATTCGGAGGAAAGTGGATACGAATATTAACTTTTTGAATCCTGGTAAGCGAAAAATCTTCCTAAAAACCGTAGGGGTAAACTTTCCTCACTAATTTCAAATTGTCATAACTCGGTCAATTTTTATTCGATTGAGCTGATCTTGGTTTTAATCGATAGGTATTGAGTTGATCTTTAAAATGAGACCAAAATCATGTCTGTATCTATCTTACTTTTGAAGTTACAGAACCAGTCCCGGTACTTTTGGGACACCCTACGTATGATATTTTTACTCTACACATATGCCCGAATACGCATCATAAGGGACCTATGTGCTTCCTAAGTTGCCAAGTATTAATTATTGTTAGATTATTGGTCTAAAACATTCAATACAACCAGTAAAAATTAGCTGTCCCCTACGAGATTCGAACCCCCGCTCGCACAAAAAGTGACACTCTCCCAGAGGCAGAAAGGTAACGCAGCCATTTGAGCTATTTCGCTGCTCAGATATGCATGGAGAAAAAGAGAACACTTAAGTGATCTCGGACGCTGAGCGGGGCTTCACAAAAGACGTCCTTGAGATTTCAACGGTTCGGCCACTGGCGTGATAAGACACAACGGATCAACCGCATTACTCTGTGAGACATTGTTTACCTATGCTGTCATGTGTCACGAGGTTCATATCAACAGGCATTTGCGATCGCGGCAGTAAGCTCAGGCAATATTTCTGTATTCATGGATTAAATCCATCAATCGAGTTCTGATTTTGGCTCATATATCCGTAACGGGTCCTCCAGAGCAATTTTCCACCTTGTACGATGGTTATTATTTCTTTATATCTATGTTTAAAATTTGAGGTGGGATAATGGCGGCTTCTCAAGAGCAACGAGGTAGGCGATCTTTTGCACCAACGAACAGAAAACTGATGGCGAAAAATAACCAATCAGAACCTCCCAAAAAAAAGAATTTGCCTAAAAACGGAACTTCGTGGTTCTGCGCAGATTTACCAGTCAGACACGACATCTCAAGGTGGAAAAAAACTCGCTGAAAGCGAATTTTAGCAATCAACACAACTTGACGTAGAGACATGATTGGCTAAAAAATACAACGGTTTTTGATACATCGGAAAATCAACCAAAAATCGGAGACTGGGCGAAACGCTCAAGGTCGCAGAGGTATAGGGAATCCCATTGCGAAAGCAACGGAACGATTCTAATATCATGGGGAACTCCGTTCCCATGACAAAATAGTTTTAATCATAATCTTGGCTTATACAAGTATTTTTTCAAGGTGAGCTTTTCTCTTGACAATTGATGTAAAAATCTTAATTTATTTCAAAATTAAGTTTTTAATTTAGTCAAAGGCGACAAGTTTTCTTATATTCAAAAATTCCCCGAATTTTCAGATGTTGACAAAAAAATCCCTGTTTTTATTTTCAGTGTTTTTTGGCATGGTTTTCAATAAAAACTCTAATGGTGGTCAATTGAGTGCCTGAGCCCCTGCGGCGACTGATTACTGAAACTGATAGACAAAGCAATAGACGAAGAAGACATGGGGAGTATGGAGCGATCCTATAGAGCGTTGCCATAGACTAAGGGGGAAAACGATGGACTAACTGCATGGTTTGTCGTGGGTTGCCGTTAGTTAGTCTATCATTTACCTCCTTTGTCCATCGCAACCAGTGGCGTGGCGTGAATAATCGATTATCGATATCTCGCCATTTGAAGCTATAGTAAAGAATCGATTACTAAGGTGTTCGCTGCGAACACCCTGATAATCGATCTTTTTTCATAGGTTTAAATGGCATAACAATCGATATATCGCAATTCACGCCACGCCACTGATCGCAACCAACCGTATCCACAAATTGGATCAATATATTTTCCCTTTGTCTTCTTTGTCTATCACTTTGTCTATAAATTTCAGTAATTTCACAGGTTTTTAGTTGGTAAAAAAGGCCTCTTAAAAAATTTCGGGCTGCATATTCTCTGGTTTTAACTTCAGTTTTTCTATATAATATATATAAAGTCGCTTTACAACGCACTTTGGCGTTCTACGACACCCAAACGCCACATATACCTGTCTTCCCAGAGGTTATAGGGCAACTGACAACGCAACATCTCTTCGTCAACGCCCTGCCGCCAACCCTTTACGGGACGTCCCCGTCGCCTCTTCCCAGGTGGTACCCAATCCAAAACTTGTTTGGGCAACCTCTCCTCCGACATTCTTTGCACATGTCCATACCAGCATAACTGCCTGGACATGACGTCGTGCACGATATCTTTTTCAACCTTCATCACCTGGCGAATTCTCTCATTACGGACACGGTCCCGTCTCGAAATGCCGGCAGATCGCCGCCAAAAATCCATTTCAGTTGCCCTCAACATTTCTTGCGTTCTTTTCGTCAAAGGCCACACTTCACTACCATAGAGCACGATACTTTTAACGATGGCGTCATATATCCGGTGCTTGTTTGCCTTTGAGATGCTCTGATCCCAGAGCACCCCGTTCAGCATCGCGATGGCTCTCCTGCCCTGGATGATCCTGTCCTTAATTGCTCTATCCATCCTTCCATCCTGATCAAGCCAGGCACCGAGATACTTGTACTCATCACACTCTTCGATGCGCCGTCCATCCTCAAGCTCTATGCTTTGCCGTTGATGCGCTGCTCCCACGACCAGCTTCTCTGTCTTGGACACACTAACATCCATGCCCCATTTCCGATATTCTTCGACCAACTTCCGCGTCATGTAATCTGCATCTTCCTCATCTTGAGCTACAACGATCTGGTCATCGGCAAAGCATAGAGTATAAAGGGTCTGTCCATCAAGGAGTGGAACGCCCATTCCTGCAACCTTTCCTTCAGTTTTTCTCCTTTTCAAAATTCAATTCATAAAAATGCTAAGATCAAAGGAAAAGCGTGTGCATCTTACCTTCATCTTCCTCCTCAGCCTCTGTCGTGGTTAATATTTCCGTGATAGTTTTAGTGATTTCTTTTAGTTTTTTCTTATTTGCAACTGCAGGGGGAGGCACTGTCGGACCGTCTTCATCGATAACTGCCCTCTCGGTAGTTATGTCCTCTTCAGCCTCCCGCGTTACTGGCGGCGCCATCTTTGCTCCTGCAAAATGGAAAAACCAAAAAATTGCATTATACATGTTATATGAAAAATACGTCAAATGAAAAAAAACTGCAACTTCAAACGATCTGGCTACGCCGTGGATAAAACATACACACTCACTGAGCAATTTTATGACTTCTTAGTCATTATTTTGAACCTCATTTTTCGGTTCAACGCCATAGTTTAAAATTCACCTGCGTCGTAGACGTCAAAATTGTATTCCTCTGAATTTTCATAAAATAACCTCTTCCCGTTGCATTATACATGCTACATGAAAAGTGCGTCAAATGAAAAAAAACTGCAACTTTAAACGATCTGGCTACGCCGTGGATAAAAAATACACACTCATTGAGCAATTTTATGACTTCTTAGTCATTATTTTGAACCTCATTTTTCGGTTCAACAACATAGTTTAAAATTCACCTGTGTCGGAAACGTCAAAATTTTATTCCTCTGAATTTTCATAAAATAACCTCTCCCCGTTACAAATTTCCGAGAATTTCCGCGATTTATATGCCTGCCCTCTCAGTTGGGGCCCGATTTACTTGCTTCACTTACGAAGAGAGATACGTGTTGCAGTGACACTATGCATTATTGCATGGTGCGCGAATTTTTGAAAGTAATGTTCCGCGCCCCGACTAATCCCCGAATCTCGTTTCTAATCCGGGTCAACTTTATACCTAGCCGTTATTTCATTATTACCAGGTGCTTGTGCTTCATCCTCACAACTTCTAAAATTGCAATGTCTTTACAGCCTTAAAAAATTATGAGAGTTCGAAGTAACGAATCGCTAGAAAAAAAGTAGCTTGGAACTAGAGTCCAGACTCTTGGAAACATTGACAAGAAAAAATACTATTGATTCAATCGCACTATTTGCTTGAATCGAAAGGAAATCCACCGAAATCAAAAGGCTCGGCTATTCGATTCAAGGAAAAATCGGATTGAATTAAGAGTATTTTTTATTGTCAATTTTATGAAGAGTCTGGACTCTAGATCCAAGCGACTTTTTTGCCCAGTGGCCAATCAGGAATTGATCCCGCATGCCTTACCTCTCACAATAGAATGAATCTGATCAATATACAAAAGACTACACTGAAAAAAAATACCGGTGTATTTACCAAGAAAAGGGTAGAATTAGAGAGTAAAAGAATTCAGGGTTCTATTTGATCCCAGTTTTTTCTTGGTAAAATTACCATTTATGGAATTGGTAATTTTACTGAGAAATCTCAGTAAAATTATTGAACTTTCTCGGTAATTTTACTGGACCTTGATAAAAAAGCCAATATTTTCTATCGACTGTGGTAGAATTACCGAGATAAAATGGCAAAGTTACCGGGAATCGATTACCAATAAAAGTGGAATTCTTACCTGAAAAAAAAACAGTAACAATACCGGTTTCTAGGTAAGCTTGCCAGTCTGTCTTGGTAAAATTACCAATATTTGGTAAAAAAAAGTGAGATGGTAAAGGTACCAACGGACCTTGGTAAAAACGCCGAGAATTTGTTTTCAGTGTAGCCTGTCTTCGCCGGGAGTGGCAGCGTCGCCGGGGCAAACAAGCAGGAAGCATTCTCCCGAGAGTGAACGCACACAAAAATAAGAAACAAAAATACATTCGGGCGGAAAAAATCGAAGGAAACGTGAAACCGGCCCAAATGTCGGGAGTTAGAGCAGAGCAAATAACCTCACCGCCTCAAGCAACGAAAAGTGAGAAGCGAGCGTTGTCGAAACAGCTCGAGGTAACCTTAGTTTTTCAAGGAAGCTCGGGATCCTGAGAAAATTCGATGCTCCGTCTGGCAACGTGGATTTAAGCCCGAATAAACGCGGTTAATCCACCGCAGAATCCCTTGAGCCCGCACAAGTCGGTCTAGTGCATTTATCCCGCGACAAGACCGTGAGATCTGCCTTTAAGTGCCTTCATTATGCAATAAATCTGCAGGTACCTTCCCTACGTCTTTTGAGAGAGACTTATTCCTCACTCCTCGTGCGGATGTTGATACGTTTGAAAATCAAACCCTTCCGGCAGCCTGATTGTTGAAATTTTGTGTTTGTCGGGTCGACGTAGATGACAAGGTTAAAAGGCGGAGCGTGATTGGTCGGCTATGTCTTATCGCTGATTTATCGTGCCTTTGGCAGGTGGAATGGACGACATATCGTCGGAAACTTAAGAGGTGCCTTTTTTATAGCTTGTCGATAGTTCCACCCGACATAGGCACGACAAAGCAGCGATTATTAGACATAGCCGACCAATCACACTCCGCCTTGTCATCTATGTCTACCCGACAAACACAAAATTTCAACAATCAGGCTCCAGATGCGTTTATTCTCACTCTTGATTGAAAATACGTAACGGACCACTAAAGCGGGTGCAAATTTGAGCATTATGATGTACAAATTCAAAATTCCACGAAAAACACAATTTGCTCGGCGAGATTAATTACTGAAAACCACGTTTTACCAAGATTTTAACTTTTTCGAGGCGTAAATTAAAACTGTCCGCTCTAGTAAGAACGATACTCAACTTGAGTTACATCGCACACGACTCGTAACCGTGACAGCCCCTGCGGTATGATGTATGAAAGAATGAAAACCTCAGGCTCGGCGCTCTGGCACAGCTTTTGCAGGTTTTTTACACTTTGAAAAAAAGTACAGAGTATAAAAGGGACACTACTCGATTGAGAAGCCTGCCAAAACTGCTCAGTGATCCATTGGTACATGCACTACGTGCTAACATGGTTCACATATTTTTGACGGTTGTATCTGGGGGGGGGGGGCATATGATACTATTTGCAGTTCTAAGAGGGCCATGCCCCCCTGGACTCCCCCTTCGTTTGTCTATGGCAAGGGAGTTGAGCCATGAGCCATTGAAGTCGAGGATGCCCAGACTGGAGACTCTTAGCAAATGGGTGGTTTTTCTACGAGGATTAAAAATAAACAATTGGCACGGAATATAACAAAAGAATATGAACTATGCAAAACGATAATCCGGGTATCGGAACTTGGCTGATTTGAAAACGCCTTCAAATGCGGCGTGATACCTCACGCATTCCGGAGAGTTCAAATAGTTGTATCATTGCGCCTTAGAAATGTGACGGAAGATTTAAATGGAAATAGCCTTCATCTCGTTAAAAATTTCTAGCAGGCTCGGAGACTGACCTCAGTATATTTTCGTCCTATGGGTACCTACGGCAGTCAACTGCGTTTTGTTGCGTCAAGAGTAGGAGGCACAAAAAAAAAAGAGAGAGTAGCATTTACCATACTCTGCAGATTAAACAACGGCACAACCAGACAGTATGGTAACTTTCACCAAAATTACTGTCACAATAAGGAAAAATCTTGTTACTTTCACTATATTTTGGATGAAAGTTACCATACTCTCTGGTCGTGCCGTTTATTAACCAGAATATGATGAATGCTACCTAATTTTGTTTCCGAGAGGCTTAGAATCCACTATGGGCATTGTGAGAATAATGTTTTTTTTTTCTTTCCGCGATGAGAAAATGCGAACAATGTAAAATTATTATAAAATTCCCGAACCCAAGAACTGTAAAAGAAAAGTCAAGAGAAAAAATATAAACCCGGAAAAGTGCGGACGGGGTCAAAAACTGGTTTCTGACTCGACTGTCCATTATGCCCACTTTGTGTGGAAATAAATCAACTTCAGCCGCGGTGAAAAATGAATAATTCCGCGTAGACACTTGAAGCGCCAGCGGTGTTGCCAGCTTGAGACAATTTCCAGAGTCAACCCCCGCACTCGTGGGTTACGGAAGTTTCGAAGGTAAGGGCGGCGCAATAAATCGTCCTCCCACCTGACTCCCATCATTGTTAGCTGCTGGCAGTTTTGAGTTTTGCTTCTGAATTTTTTCTCCCCTTTTTTCTGCGGGCTACTTCGGCAATGCGGTGCGCTTGCTGAAGTTTCAGCACTTGGCCCACTAATGGGCAATCCCTCCGCCCCTGCTCGCATACCCTCACTTGTTCACCCTGCGGTCGTCAACCTAATAGGGTCAAGCCTTTGGGTTAATTGCACACGTGGTGACTGTGTATTACTCCCGTGGCGAGTGTTGTTAACGGTGTACCTGTCTGAACTGTGTTTCGTATACTTTTTCTCGGTTTAGCACAAGTTTTAAATTTTTTAACATATTGATTGGCTTCAATATAACGTCCGGAATGTTCGGAATAAACGCCGTGGGGGAAAATTAGGGCAAAGTCATTAATACTTTTAATGCCAAATTTGGCTGGCTGAGCTGCATAGAACATGGTAAAAATCAAGCTACAAGCCAAAATTAAATGGTTCTTAATAATGGTCTTTGGTTTTATTATTTACCTACTTCCTTCTTGTCACTACTTTCACTCATCCTTCCTCAGGAATTGCACCTAATTTTGATTTTATTCCAAGATGTAGTTGCCATAGATTTGTATTTTCGCTATACTTGGTTTACGAATAGTTTTGTAGCTTTTATATTTATTTTTTATTTTTTTTCTAAAATACTTCCACTTGTTGTTCCTCATGCACTGAAGAAGATCGCAATTTGTTGGCGGGCAAAACTTTTGCTTTGTTTTATGTAAGGTTTGTAATATTCCTCATGTACATATAGTTTGAAATATTACTTGTTAAATTTATTTTTGGCTTGTAGATCGATAAATTACCATGTCCTTAATACTCATCGTAAAACTATAAAAGTTGTGGGTAAAAACTCTCTTCAGAAGAAAATGCGTGCGTGTCCATCAAAGCTCTGAGCTATGGATTGCATTGTGCTCCGTTTTTTAAGCTTGGTGATTTGGAGTTATATCTGCATTGATTCAATTTTCGAACAAACCCGTTTGGTCTTCAGGGACCATCCGAGTGTCGAAGAGAAGATTTGATTCCGCCAAAAAGACAATAAAAATTGATAGACGGTTTTGGTGGGCATTTACTAATTCACGAGGAGCATGTGGATGTGTCGGATGAAGCACGAAGGGTGACGGGATAAATAACGGAAGAAGTGAGTTCTACGTATTATAAC